TTATTAAAAGAAGAAGAAGCTGTCCAGTTATTTCTTAGGAAACCAGAGAATTTCCCCAAAGGATCGTGTTTCAGATTTAGATGTATGCAGACATGGAACTACTGAATGAGGGCATCCTTGAAACCCCATACCCGAATGCTTTGCTTTCTGAAAGGGAGACCATGATTGGAGCATTTATAAAAAGTGCCACTACCACAATTATACTATATCTTGATGTGAGCTTTTGCTGAATACGTTGCATTATTTAGTCATGAAGTAGAACAGACTTCCTGTATCATAAGTGGCTTCTAGATAGCTGAAAGACTTCTGTTTCTTCCATATTCAATGGGAACATTTTATTTCTGTGTTACGGACCATTGAAATTTCATTTTTGTGTCTGTGATATTCAGTGCTTTTTGCTAAAATTCCAGACCCTGGAATTCTTTAAAAAGAAAACACCTTGTATCCCCTTCCTCCCTTTGTTCCTTACCTCTGCATCTTCCTGTGAAGTGTTTCTGAGACTATTCTTCCCCTGCCAGATCACGTGTGATTTTTTTGTTTAATTTTTTTTTAATATATGAACAATACCTGTAGCACACTTTGGAGCCTTTTCCTTTTGTACTTTGCAAATTGCAGATGGCAGATCTTGCTGATGGTAAAATATTAAATTACGTTTCAGTGCCCTCTATGGGCTAGATGATCCTATTCAGCTCTTTGAGAGAGAAAGCACCACTAAAAATCCATGTTTGTTACAGCACTGAAACTTGGAACAAGGTGGAGATATGAAGAAATCTGTTATTTGAGTCATTTACTAAACCGCTGTCTTCACTGGGTAGTATATGACAGTGAATGCTGAGGATGTGAAAGCTTAGAAAGTTGTAACTTCACTCTATTTATTCTCTCTTGCAGTTTCGACAATGCCTTTTGCAACTCTTGTGCTTTCGCCTGATGAGATTCCAGAGGACCGTGAAAGAGACACCAGCAACAAGGAGTGACAAACCAATACGGCCAATAGTTATGTCTCAGAAAGCAGGAGACAGGCCAAAGAAGAAAGTGACTTTCAGCTCCTCCTCCATCATTTTTATTATCACCAGTGATGACACTCAGCAAATAGATGACAACAGTAAACACAGTGGGACAAATGTAAATGTCATCCAAGTAAAACCACTATAGAGATGAGCCAAAGAGAGATGAGAGTGAGATGGACTTCAGCCAGTGGACTGTTTAGGTTGGAGATTGGTTTCAGTGGCAGGGTCTGTGGGCTGCCAGAGGAAACCATGTTCTTCAGCTGTGAAATACTGAAGGGATTCTGCAATTTTCTTAAAGTATATTGTAGGATTGCCATTCTGGAGAACTTGATCAGGCCAGAAGAATGCGCTGTTACGAAGTCCAGCAAGGGCGAGTGCAAAGCCCTGTGCTTAGGAAGGAAGACAGATGCTACAGCACAACAGGCTGGGCCCTGGCTGCCTGGGTTGCAGCTTTGTGGAAAAGGATGTGGACTTCTGTTGCTCAACAAGCAGAGCATGAGCCTGCAGTGTGTCCTGGCAGCAAGGAGGGGCACCAGCATCCCAAGCTGTAGGGACAGGATTGGAGCCAGTAGTTTGAGGTGATTATACCCTCGACTCAGCCCTTATTAGGCCACATCTAGATACTGCATCTAGTTTTGGAACCTCAATACGAGAAAGACATCTGTAAAGTGGGGTGAGTTCAGTGGATTCCCTCAATAGAAATGGGGAGTTTTTTAACAAGATGGAGACAGGCTCTTCAGGGCAATTCATAGTGGGAGGATCGCAGACAATGAGCATGAACTGAAACAAAAGAGATTTGGATGGAATAGAAGAAGCTTTTTTACCCCAAGGACAGCCAAGCAGTGGAACAAGTCAGACCAGAGATTTCCTGAGGTTCCTTCAGCTTCAGTTATCCCTGAACTGCCAGCATTCGCAACGTGCAGAGTTATCAGAGAAGAAGGAAGAATGTTTGAAGTTGGCTACGGCTTAGTTGGTGTGAATCAGTGCTTTGCAGGGTTGAGAGTGGGAAAGGTGATGTCAACAATGGTTAGGATTATGGTTAAACAAGAAGCCCCCAGAAAGATGTCCCTGTGTACTCAGCAAGCCATTCTCTTGGTGCTACCTAGTAGAACCCCTGAGCTATGTAGTGAAGAAAGTCATACAAATCAAAGCACCAGTGAAAAGAGGTCAGTGAAAAGGGAGAATTGGATTTTTTGATTTTTTTTTAAACTGTATGGGATTTATGCATCTTATTCTTTACATGAACCAAGAGCATCATCCTGTATTAATCCTGAACCTGCTCTGGTACTCTGGGGAAAGTAACGGTTAGAGAAGAGCAGGGTAACTTTTGCCTAAGTTGCTGTGTGAGCAATGATGGTCTTGGAGCTCACTAAACAGAATAGATAGGGATTTTAATGTCTTTCACCTCACCTTTGTAGTTCTTGCTGGTACAATATGGCCACAGGGTTCTGCCCCAGACATGCTTCCTATCCATGTTGGGTGAGTAAGTTAGAGAGCTAATTCTGAATTATGACAGCTGGTTCTCTACCACATCTCTTACCCTGGTATAACTTCTCTCCTTTAGTCTGCTAAATAGGCAGTGTGGGTCTGGAACATGGAGCTTTTCCATATCACAGAATCACAGAATGTTAGGGGTT